CTCAGGGCAGGTATGTTTGGTTCTAGGACTCTAAGAATGCCTTCTGTCTCCCACATGTAGCCATAGGGGGTCTCTCTGAATCACAGAGCTGACTAGACCCCAAATCTCTGCTGGAGAGAGGTGAGACTTCCAGCCCCTCCATGTCCATTCATAGAACCGGATTAACCTCTCCAAGAGCACCGGCAGGGAGCAGTGGAAAGTATAATTCAGAGTAAAAATAATTGAGAGCATGAAGCTCAAAACCTACATATGTAATAAAGTAGAAGAGCTTCTTTCTAGATTTTGTACCTGCAAATTCTTGGATTGCTAAGTTCATCTGAGTAGGATTTTTCTCACTTTGCTGCTGCTGGTCAGCTTTGCTGGTGCCCTGGGTAAGGCCTCCCTGACTTGGTTGGTGCCATTCCCTCTTCCTCTCATGCTCTAGGGGCCACTTCCTGCTGGTTGAACTTTCACTAAGGCTCAACACACAGTTCAAGGCCAAAGCAATCCACTCTGCATCCTCTTCCCCAGTCCCCTGGGACCGAGTCAGGCATCCCACCCCCCAGCCCTTTACACATCTCCTTCCTCTCTCCCTCAGACAGAGCTTATGTCATTGTGCCACTGTTAATTCCACCAGAATCTGTTTTCTGCTCTGGAGTCTTTGAAGTCTACACTTTGTCATGTTCACCATTCTATCCCTTCTCCTTAGCCTTGTGAATGGTACATGGCATGTGCTTTCATTAAGTGAATATATGAATGAGGGAATGAAAGGAATGACACCTGCTCTGTGAGCCTTTCTGAGCTACTCCAGATCCAAGTGCCCGTTCCCTCCCTCGTGTCCCCTCTGCCCTTTGAGTCTGCAGTCTCCCACCCACCCCCAGGTCCCATGTTGGTTGGTATTACTCTGATTGCTCGGTTGCAGACAGAACTCAAATCTCCCAAGAGTGAGGATCATGTTCAAAAATATCTGCTCCTCCTCCAGGGTGAGGATTGGGGCTGGGCAAATGCCTGACCATAATTTTGATTGTCCTCTAGCTCGGAAGTGCCTGGGGGAAAATGAATTCATTTGTTCATCCATTCATTCATTCATGCTTGCTCACATGCTCAGCCAGCCCTCCCCGAATATGTGCTCTGAGCCTGCCCCTTTCTTGGGCCTGAGATTCATTGGCTAGTTATCCCCCTGGCCACCAACCTATCAGAACGGACACTCCTCACTCTCTTTCTCCTTATTTATTACCTACTTTATGTCCTGATTTTTTACTTACTTACTGATTGAAAAAGAGTTAGATTCCTGAGTGACTTAAGAATCATTCATAGACTTTGTGTTGGTCCCATGGTGGATATTGTGGTCACTTTCATTATACTTTTAAATGTAGTCTCTCTGGCATCTTTAGTAGTGCTTGGTTTCAGGCAAGCAAGATAGTAAAATGGAAAAGTGGGTAGCTGGATGATTGGTGAGCTCAGTTTAAGAAAATAATGCAAAAATGTGGTAACACAGAGGGTGGCTATTAACCTCTCAGGGACCTCACTTTGTAGAACGCCCCAAAGTATCTCGGTGTCAATAGACCACGATATATAAATGAGTGTCCTCTAGGTCAGAGAACCTCATGGCCTTTGGGGACCTAGCAGTCAGAAAAACAGTGAGCCCTGGAGGGTGAGTCTGGGGCAAGAAGGGGGTCCAGGTGCATCCCTTTCCTACCCACCCCACTTTCTAGGAGCACATCCACTTCAGAAGTCCACACAGTTGGCTGAAGGGCTTACCCACTGGTCAGGGATTCAGACCACCTCTGAATGGTGTCCCGGCTTAGTGCAGTGATGACCGTGTCTATCTTCCCCTTGTCCGGAAGGATGAAGAAGACTGTCCCGTTGCCCATGTAGTCCAGCTGCACCAGCTGGCAGGAGAGCACTGAGTCATTAAAGTACTTGATCTCATTCGACTGGAACATCATAGGCACCTTCACCAGGGTTGTTTCGTTCACATAGAAGTTCTCCTCTCTGGTGCTTTCCAGGTCAAAGGGGTGTGCCCAGGTACCTGGGAAGAGGAGGGAGAGGGAGGGCAGGAGACAGGCCCGTGTAAGCAGGAGCTTGGTGGCAGCTGAGCACCAGGTGTAACCACTAAGCAAATTACACAGCAGCCTTCCTCACCCCGGAAGGTCCCCACCAGTCTGCCAGAGTTTCCTGGTAAAAAGGGAAATCCCTAGAGGTTTAAGGGATTTCCATCTTCTACCCTTGGAATGGATTGGGGATTAGCTCCGTTTCTGAGATTGGCCCTGAAAACAGAAAGAGGGCGTGAACAAGAGAATGCTGGCCCTGGGATTTGGGGATAGAATTCAGTAAACCATACTTTGCCTCATAGCCCCTGCTTGGAGTGGATCCTGGATTGGAGGGCTGTGGAAGAGGTGCTAGATCTCAGGCTGCAAATTCAAGGTCAGGGGTTGGGGGAAGTTTAGTGGAATGGACCATCCATTCCATCCCCACTCTTTCACATCCTGGTCACAGAAGCCCAGCAGATATCCTGGCTGCCCAGTTGATTGTACCCATTCCCCTGCAGGAGGCTCCTGACCTCCATTGTGGCCCTGAGGGCTACACCACATTTCCTGGAGGCAGAGTCAAGGTGAGAAGATTCCTTTAAGGTAACAAGGTCCCCACTAAGAACTGGACTCAAATCTCTTCCACTGTGTTCCACGATGTTATTACACAACCTCTTTGCTTGTCTCGTGATGGGGAACTCACTACTTTTACAGGTGGGACTTTCCACTATTGGTCAGCTCTAATGGGAAGAAAATTGCTCCTTAGATGGACCCAAAGTCTGCCTGATTGTAATGCCTGCCTGCTGAGCCTCTTTAGTCCTTCTGAGCTTATTCCAAGCAATTCTGAGTCCTCTTGCAGGTGATAGACCTTTGGATATTTAAAGACAGGCGTTGTTGCCCTAGCTGGTTTGGCTCAGTGGTTAGACCATCAGCCTGAGGACCGAAGGGTCCCAGGTTCAATTCTGGCCAAGGGCACATACCTTGGTTGCGGGTTTGGCATGATCAGGGCATGAGCAGGAGGCAACCACTCAATGTTTCTCTTTCTCTCCCTCCCACTCTCTCTGAAAAAGCAATGGGGAAAAAATATCCTTGGGGGAGGATTAAAAAATAAAAAAGACAGGAATTGAGTCTTACAAGGGCTCTAGGTTAAGTCTCCCTGGGTCAGGAGATGACTGAGAACCCTGAGTCCAGCGGGTCCTCAGTCAACAGGGAGAGGCTGGAGGTTGCAGGGATAAGAGCTATGGATGCAGAGTCTGGCTGCCTTTGACCTTAAGCCTAGAAGCCCGTGAAGCCTGTGTTGAGGCCACTGTTTCCCAGTGAGGCTGCCAGAGGTGGCCAGAGCATAGCTCCAGGCAGATCCTTCTCAGTCCCACTGCCTATGGGATCTATGGACCATGAAGCTAAAACTCTTGGTTCTGAGCCAGCCTCAACCCCTTTGTAAGGGATGCTAATGGAGACAACAGGGAGAGGCTGGAGGCTGCATGGAGAACTATGGATGCAGAGCCTGGAGACCCAGGAGCCATTCCTGGCCCATCCTCGACAACTGAGTGTGAACTCATTGTCTGAGTGTCTCACAGCAAGTGAGGTAATTAAAAAAAATATTTTTATTCATTTTTAGAGGGAGAGAGAGTGAGAGAGGGAAACATCGATGTGAGAGTGAAACAGCAAAACATTGATCAGTTGCCTCCGGCACACCCCCTACCAGGGCCCTACTGGGGATGGAGCCCACGACCAGGAATCAAACTGGCACAGGTTTGATTTTCGTGCTCAGAATAACACCCAACCAACTGAGCTACGCTGGCATTGGTGCAAGTGAGATAACTTGACGAGACTCAAAACATCCTCCAAAAGAAGTCTGGAGGAGGTGACTTTTGAGCCAATATTTGAAAGGTGGGAAGAAGTTTTAGGCAGATGGACAATTTGAGGGAGGGCTCAGGGGGCCAAAAGGGCATGGGCTTGTGGCAGGAAGAATGGCTCCCCAAAGATGTCCATGTCCTAATCCCTGGAACCTGTGAATACTTTATATTGCATAGCAAGAGGGAATTAAGGTTGTTAATCAACTAACCTTGAGATGAGGAGATTATTCTGTATTATCCAGCTGAGCCCCGTGTAATCACAAGGATCCTTCAAAGTGGAAGAGGATGACAGAAGAGGGACAGAGTCAGAAAAGAGATGTGATGACAGAAACAGTTATCGGGGTGATGCGTTACTGGGTGAGACTATGCCTTTGAAGAGGGAATGGGGCCGAGAACCAAGGACAGGTGGCTTCTAGAAGCTGGGAAAGGCAAGGATCAAATTCTTCCTTAGAGCCTTAGACCGCCAGAAGGAACATGCCTTACTAACACCTTGACTTTAACCCAATGTGACTCATTTTGGACTTTTGACCTTCAGAATTGTAATATAAATTTGCATTGTTTTAAGCCACCAAATTTGTAGTTATTTGTTATAGCCGCAATAGGGAACTCATACAGGCTTCTGTGGGGACAGCCATACTCAAAGGAATTCAGTGTGGTCTGACTGACTGTGTGTGTGTTTGTGTGTGTGTAGGGAAAATGTTGACAGGAGGCTGGAGAGGACAGAGAAGTAGATGACTCTGTGCCAGGGCTTCTCAACCTTGGGACTATGCCATTTGAGGTAGATATTGTGGGGGTTGTCTTGTGCATTCTAGGGTTTTTAGCAGCATCCCTGGCCTCTACCCAATAGACACCACTCCAGTAGATGCCAGTAGCACACCCCACCCCACCCCTAGCTGTGACAACCACAAATATCTCCAGACATTGCCAAATATCCATGAGGGTGGATGGGGGTTGAGAACTAAGGAGTTTAGATTTTATTCTCAAGAACAATATATCCCCAAATTATCTGATCATTAAAATTATTAGAGGAGGTTACCTTGTTTAAAAATGAAAATTCTAGGACTTTCCCATGGAGGTTTTGCTTTAGTAGGCCTGGTCTTCGATCGGGAATCTATAATTTTAACAAGTCTCCCTGGTGATTTTTATGAACACGCACTTTGGAAAACCTGTTCCAAATGGGTGAAGAGGAACTTAAGTTCGGTATGAGTAGGACCTGGTCAGATCTGGTTCTGAGCACTTGGGAAATGTGTATATGTTAACTCAGGGGCAGTCTGAGAGTTCCTGAGGTCTGTTTGGTTCTAGGCTGTATTTCTAGTACCTTTCCCAGTGCCTGACTCATAACCAGGACTCAGCCAATGTTTGTAGACTGTGAGGCAGCCATACTGTTCACCGTTACATGTTTGGCCCTCAAACCAACCTGTAAGAGCTTGGGCGAGTTACTCAACTCTTCCAGTTGTCATTTGGATCTTTCATAAGATTATATAATTCCATCTTCCTAATAGGATTATGGTGAAGATGGAGACTCACAGATGTGTATGTGCTTTGTAAAACAAAAGGCTTTGCCTAAGAATGCACCCTGGATTTTGATAGCTGTTACTATTCTTGGCAATAGTAGATGAGGTCTTGTCAGAATGGGATGGGTAGGGGTACCTTTGAAGAAGATGTAGTTGACCAGGATAAACGTGGCTGGGCTATCCAACTCTGAGAATAAGTCCACGATTTTCCCTTGTGTCTTATTCTTGATATATTCATTGATTTGCTTACTGGCTCTGGCCCAGTCCTGGAAATCTATAGCCAAGGCGTCCAACTCATAGTAATGCTTCGTGTCTTCTGAGAATGACTCTAGAAGCTCCAGGCTCTGGTTGAGGAACAAGGCATTGCCCATGGTCATTTCCAAGGTGGTGCCTGACTCCCTGAGGAGGCGTTGGAGGTACCAGAAGCCCTGGTGGATCTTGGCTTCTGATGTCTCAGTGAGATTGAAGCCCAGGCCCTGGAGAAGCTGGGCTCTTGTGTACCCGTGGGCACCCAGGGAAAGCAGAGCCAAGGCCATGGAAATGCTGACGGGAGAGATGAAGATGTTCTTGCCAGGAGTTGAGGCCACTAGGTGCTTATACAGGCCAAAGGCAAAGTCAACATTGTTTGGAGCCAGGTCCCGGTGGTGGCTCCTTATGCTTATGTCAACATCAGGCTCCTTAGCCTGGACAGTCCAGAGGCCACTGGTAGACAGCCAGAGGAAACAAATGTACAGGGCGAGCAGCATTGTTCAGGATGGCAGGGCCCTACAAAATTAGAAATTGCTCATTAGATGATGCGGAGTCTTCAACGTAGTGGGATATCGGGAACAGTAGGCAGAAGACCCCATTCAAGCCCTAGTTTCTTCTTCCACATTGGCTGTGTGACCTGGGGCCAGTCAGGATTCTGGGCCTCAATTGTCTCATCTGAAAGTATAAATTATACCTGCTATGATTCAATCAAGTTGGGCACCTACTGGAAGCCCAACATTGACCTAGGTGTTCTGCCTATATTTTCTCATCTACCCCCACTTACCACCAACAAACTAATAAAGTAGATAATTATTCTGATTTTAGGTAGGCAGAAACAGGTTCAGAAAGCTTAAATATAAACCTTATTAATATATTCAAAGTACTGAAAGAAAAACACTGTCAACTAAGAATTCTGTATCTGGCAAAACCATCCTTCAAAAATGAGGGAAGAATTAAGACATTTCCAGATAAACAAAAGCTGAGTTAGTATATTATCACTAGACATCCCCTGCAAGAAATGCTAAAGGGGGTCCTTCTGATTGAAATGAAAGGACACTAGAGAGTGAATAGAATCTTTATAAAGAAATAAAATTCTCTGGTAAAAGTAAATATATGAGCAGTTAAAAACTATTATTATTATAATTTTGGTTTGTAACTCCACTTTTTGTTTTCTATATGATTTAAAAAGACCGATGCATAAGAAACAATTATTAATTTATATTTTTGAATGCAGAATGAATAAAGATACAATAACTGAAAGGCTGTGTGGATGAAGCTATGTAGAAGAACAGTGTTTGTATGCTATTGAAATTAAGCTGGCATAAATTCAAATGAGAGTGTTATGAAATATGTGTTATAACTTTAGTATGTTAAATGTAATTTCCCTGGCAAGCATAAAGAAAATAGCTATAGAATATACACAAAAGGAAGTGAGAAGAGAATTAAAATATTTCACTGCCAAAAAGTCAACTAAACACAAAATAAGACAGTAATACAGGAAATGAGGGTGGGGAAGCTATAGAAAACAAATAGGGAAATGACAAAAATATGTTTCTTCTTATTAGTAATTACTATTAATGTAAATAAATGAAATTCTCCAATCAAAAGACATAGATTAGCAGAATGGGTTTAAAAAAATGATCCAACTATATGCTGACTACAGGAGACTCATTTTTGACCCAAAGACAAAAATACGAAAATTAAAGAGTGGAAAAAGTATTCCTTGCAAATAGTCACCAAAAGAGAGTGGTGGTAAGGCAGCAGAAGGAAGGAAAGAATAAATATTAGAGCACAGATAAAATAGAGAATAGAAAAACTAGAGAAAATCAACAAAACCAAAATATATCTAATCCATAAAGTTAATATATTAATGTATAATACAATTTTCAAAAAGATTAACAAAATTGACAAACATTTAGCTAGACTGCATAAGAAAAAAAGAGGGAAGTCTCAGTTACTAAAATAAAAAAAAAAATGATAGTAGGGGCATTACTACCAATTTTATAGAAATAAAAAGAATTATAAGAGAGAATACACATCAAGAAATTGGATAACCTAGATGAAATGGAAATGTTTCTAGAAACACAAAATGTACCAAGACTGAATCACAACAAAATAGAAGGTCTGAATAGACCTAAAGAAGTTAGTAAATGTAATAAGTAATTGAAAACTTCCTAACAAAGAAAAGCCCAGGACCACATGGCATCACTGTTGAATTCTATCAGATGTTTAAAGAAGAATTCACACATTTGCCTCAAATTCTTTTTAAAAATTTGAAGAGTTGGGAATACTTTCTAAATAATTTATTGCCCTGATATCAAAGCCAGACAAAGACAATATAAGAAAACTGATATTGCTTATGAACAGTGATGAAAAAATCCTCAACAGAATACTAACAAATAAAATTCAGGAGCATATTGAAAGTATTACACACCATGACCAAGTGGGATTTATTCCTGGAATGCAAGGGTGGTTCCATACACAAAAGTCAATGTAATGTAATTATATTACCAGGCTGAAGAAAAAACCCACATGATAAAAACACTCAACAAGCGAGGAATAGAAGGAGATACATCAACGTCATAAAGACCATATACGAAAAGCCCACATCTAACATTATACTCAGTGGTAAAAGATTGACAGCTTTTCATCTAAGATTTGTAACAGGACAGGATTCTGCTTTTGCCTCTTCTGTTTAACATAGTACTGTAAGCTCTAGCCAGAGCAGTTAGGCAAAAGAAATAAGAGGCATCCAAATTGGAAGGGAAGAAGCAAAATTACCTCAGTTTACCATAGCAGGTAATCATATATGCAGAAAACCCTAAAGATTCCACAAAAAACCTGTTAGAATGAATAAATAAATTCAGCAACGTAGCAGGATATAAAGTGAACACATAAAAATCAGTTCTGCTCCCATCTACTATCAGAACAATCTTAAAAGGAAATTAAGAAAACAATTTCATTGACAATAGCATCGAAAAGAATAAAATACTTAGCAGTCAACATAACCAAGGAGGTGAAAGACTAATACACTGAAAACTAAAACAAACAAAAACCTCCCAAACAAACAAACATTGATGAAAGAAAGTAAGAAGTTACAAATAAATGGAAAGATATCTTGTGTTTATGGATTGGAGAACTTAATATCTTTTAGATGTCAATACTACCTAAAGAAATCTACAGATTCAATGCAATCCTTATCAAAATCCCAATGATGTATTTTGCAGAAATAGAAAAATCCATCCTAAAATTCCTATAGTGTCTCAAGGGACTTTGAATAACCAAAATAGTCTAGAAAGGAGAACAGAGTTAGAGGTCTCACACTTCCTGATTCCCGAATTTACTGTAAAGCTGTAATAATGAAAAGAGTGTGGTGCTGGCATAAAGGCAAACATGTAGAGACCAAAAGAATACAGTAGAAAGCCCAGAAATAAACCCTTGCGTGTATGGTCAAGTGATTTTTGACAAGAGTACCAAGACCATTCAATGGGGAAAGGACTTTTCAACAAATGGTGTTGGAAAACTGGATATCTGCATACAAAAGAATGAAGTTGTATTCTTTATACCATGATACAAAAATTAATTCCAAATGAATCAAAGATTTAAATGTAAGAGATAAGTAAAACTTAGAATAAAACACAGAGGAAAAGCTCTGTGACATTGGATTTGGCAAAGATTTCTTGGATGTGATACCAAAGATACAGGCAACAAAAGAAAAATTGTATAAATTGGACTTCACCAAAATAAAAATAAAAATTCTTGTTTATTAAAGGACACTGTCAAAAGAGCAAAAAGACAACCCATTAAATGGGAGAAAATATTTACAAGTCATATCTGATAAAGGATTAACATCCAGAATATATAAAGAACTCCTAAAACTCAAGTACAAAACAACAATCGCCAACTCAATTCAGAAAGTAGGCAAAGGACTTGAGTAGACATTTCTTCATAGGAGATAAACAAATAGCCAATAATCACATGAAAAGTTGTTCAGCATCATTAATCATTAGGAAAATGCAAATCAGAACCACAGTGAGATACAATTCATACCTATTAAGGTGCTTATTATAAAAAGCAAAACAAAACAACAAAACAGAAAACAAGTTTTGGCATTGGATGTGGAGAAATTGGATACCTTGTGCATTGCTGGTGGGGAGGTTAAATGCTGCAGTTGTGTGGAAAAGAATATGACAGTTCCTCCCATAATCAAACGTAGAATTATTTGATCCAACAATTCCACTTCTGAGTATATACACAAAAGAATTGGAAGCAGGGACTCAAACAGATATTTGTGTGCACCGATGTTCATAGCATTATCCATAATAGCCCAAAATAGAAACAACCCAAAAGTCCATCAGTGGCTGACTGGATAAACAAAATGTGGTTTTATAAGAAAAACACTCCTGTATTTCTCCTTTACTCTCACTCTACTACCACACTTCACTTAAAAA